GGGAAGTGGCAACTGGTCCGTGTCGAACCGGATGTTCAAGGTTCGAGCACCGCCGTATGGAAAGCCGACGAGCAACTGTTTGCTTTTGAGAGCTGATTACGTGACAGCGGTTAACGTGTTTTTTTTTATTGGGCTGCATGAGCCAACACATCGACAAGTGTCCAGTTACACATTGAAGGTTCCTTTATGTACACTTCTGGGATGTTACTTCGTATAGTCCAGTAGAAGTTAGCGACTTTTCGGAGGATCGTGCAGTCTCCCTCGGCAGGTTCAAAGACTAAGCCAAGCAAGAGGCAGGCAGCTTCCTGCTTGTTACTAACTCCACTCTTGCTCAAACGTGCCGTGATCTGTGCCCAAGGCGCAGAACTGTCGTTATGTAATGCTGCGTGACCTCTTGACCCAGTGACTGTGACTTGTGTGCGCTTCTCAAGACGTCATTAAACTGGTTGCTTAAAACGAGTGACTAAGAATAGGTCAGATAGGGAACGGGCTGGCCTTGGCCTATATCGAAGTGCTGTCCTCGCGTTCCTTGCAGAGACCGGAGCGGCTCCAGGATGACCGTTAGAGTAATCTGCAGCCCGGCCGAGATTCGAACTTCGAGCCTCCCGCTATGCAAACCATGCACACATGGTGTTAAGCTGCATCCGTAGCTGTCAAAGGCGACAGGCGTCAGAGCGCTCGTCTTCTGCTTGTCCGCATTAGATTGTGGTGTATTGATCTGACTGGCCGTGTGACACAGAGCGCCGGCCACTTCCTCCTATCCTCACGTGTCGCTCAGTCATGGTCAGGGATTTCAGAAGTTGCTTAGTGCCGCTTCTGCACACTGGAATATGAAGAAACCCTGGCGCGTGTTTCATTCGGAACCTTTCCATTTGTACACGAAACGTAGCAGCAGTGTCCGAGAGCCACTCTGGTCACTGATTTCCTCGAAAAGTAAAGCTATACCTGTAACAGGCCGTGGAGGCCGATAGGGTTGTGAGACGCCGAGGCTCCCACATTTTCTAGACACTCGTTTCACAGATGGCGGTGAGAAAGCCGTCAAAACTTTCTCTCATTGATAGTGCCATGTGGGCAGCACGCCACTGATACCGGAATGTGAGCAACTTGTACGCGTTGCGGTTGTCAGAAGTTGAGCGCTGTTGCCGCGGTTAGTGGCGCCACGAGACGATAGGATACGACAAGCGGGGATGTATTTCCCATTTTCATGTGTAGAAGTTTCAGGGCGGTGGGCCGCGGGCGCGCGCCCGTGTGGGCCGTCATGACGCTGTCAGCGTCTAGCGCAGCGGTTCTCAAGTTACTGGGGGCTCGGGGTCGCGCGGGACATTCGTTTTGTTTTTTCGCACTGCAACCGGAATTTGTAATAGAAGTACACGTATTTCTAAAATATTTATTTATTGTATGGAGATATAAAAGTGTTATAGCACAGAAAGCAGTTTTGTCACGGATGTCCATTTGGAGAGTTTGTGGAAGTACACACACACACACGGCCCACAAGTTGAGAGCCACTGATTTAGACTGTACAGCGTCGGATGACACGATAATTGGTGAATTGTAAGGGATTTAGAAGGAAGAGGCAGAAAGCGGTCATGGCCTAATCTGAGTATTATCTCGGGATTTACCTGAAGGAACTGAGGAAAATCACGAAAATGTCGTGTTACTGTAACTTTCGGAACGCGCAAATACATCGTGTTCATGAGGAGTTGGCCATCGGACATTTTCCCGAGCCAGATTAATGCACTTGCTGTTAGCGCCATCTTTCAGAAATGCCTTCCTAATGAAAATGAGCAGGGAACTGAAAGGTAGTTGACCCGGTGGTGCGTCTGAGCCTTACGTTTGTGACGTCAAGACACGAAGGGGGGGGGGGACTACTGGGACAGCGATCGCTTTATTGTGTTACAAGTGCGCTCTTTTGTATGAAGTTTGTGCTCCTTCTGTGAAGACGGCGAAGGTTGGTAGCACTGTAATTAACTGCAGACAGTATCACTTCATTAGCCGCGCCTTCCAATTTAGTTCGCCGGATTGAGTTTAAATTGAAGTCGATGTCAGAAAATCGAGAGGTGACGGCTGCTACGTTGGTTGCAGCCGAGAGGGAAGTGGGGGGGGGGGCATCTTACTGCTGCCACCAAATCCTGGCATAAATATGCCATTAGCACTTCTCGCATCTTCCCTGCACGCGTCGTGTGTGTAGCCCATCGTTCAGGAATCATAACAGTCTTCTTGATCCCCGCCGGGGGGGGGGGGCGCAAGCATCTGCCCTCCCTCCCATGGATTTCAATAAAAAAGAAAACACGAAGAAGAGAAGGAAGTACAAATACCGAATATTAATAATGTAACCTAAACGTATTGTCACGTGTTGGGTGCATAAAGTGACAAATAACTTTACGCCGTATTGAAGGCAGTGTAGTTCTCTTATAAACCCTCAGCCGGACAACGGGAAAACGCCTCGCTTCCTTGTTGCCTAGTCGCCGTGTTTACAGGTGTTGCTGGGCGACGCTGTCGAGAGTTGTTTACTGCTGCATAGCAACCGCGGCATCCCCCGCTACGTCGCCGCGGGGGGCGGAGTGTTGACTGGCCTGTTACCGTAGTAGCGACAGCGCCCAATGTTGTTACGTCACCGCTGGCCGGGGAGGGGATGTCCTCCATAGCGCAATACGTCACAGTATGTTTAGAGGCGTATTCTTCTGTTTCTAAATGCTCTCGGACGATAAGGAAAAGTAGTCTTACACGGCTTAAACGTCCATGCTATTGTGATCATCGCCAGGTTGTACAATGTCGGAACTGTTCTGTTCCCTCTTCTGCCTCACTGAACATGGATCCAGGGTTCCACAAGTTTGCACTGGCCTCTCTGTAGTTTTTTGATTCTCGGAGGCCGGTGGGGGGGGGTTCTTGTGAGATAAGTGCGCGCGGTAGTGTAGTTGGTTGAACCCCTGTGCTACAAGCCGAAGGTCGCGGGCCTGATTCCCCATCAGGTCATTGGATTTTTCAGTTGACCTGATCCTTCCAGCCGCACTGTGGCCCTGGGCTCGACTCAACCTCTAACAGAAATGAGTACCAAGAATCTTCCTGAGAGTAAAGGGCGGCCGGCGCATAAGGCTGACAAACCTCACCTCCATCTGTGAGCCGATTGTCTAGAAAATGTGAGAGCCTCGACGTCTCACAACCCTGTGGGCCTCCACGGCCTTTTAGTAACATATAGTCAAACGATAAAAGTATAAAATACAGGAAGACGGCAGAGTGCACGGCTTTGCGATGTATATGTGTGTGAATCCCCGCGTGGAGGCGGGTTAGAATTCCTCCACCGTAGGTAGCCCAGCGAGTCGCAGAAGGCGACGAAAAGGGAACTCTTGTGTACCCTGTCACTAGGGGACATAAATATATAGACCTGATCTTCCAGGTTGTGGGTTCGGCGCAAGGCCTAGGACCTTGCTCCGTAAAAAAGATCTTTGTCGCGAAATGCAAAGAAGTGAAAACCTGATGCGATCTGGCGGGAAGCCTGTGGCTCAGAAAGGGCTGTTCTGCACCGTGGATGAAGATGAAGCATGGTGTGCATGTGTACACTGAAGCATTCATCAATTTTCTTGCTGTCTGATTCGTGCTAATTTCTTGTTTTGCTTACATTTCGACCCTGAAGATGGAGGCAAGATGTTCCGGTGAAACGTCGATTGATTCAATAGACTACACGGCGGTATATCCCAGAAGGTAGAACTCTTCATAACCACCGCTGTGAGAACCTCAGGACCATCCATGTAGTGATTTGCTGTTATTCGGTTCTCAAGATATCAGTGGCGTGTAGGTGTGAGTTTCTCGTACTTACGTCTTATATAAATAACTGCACCATATGCACGCACGTCACTGCACAAGATAGCAATAAAAATATTGGCTCGCTTCTCTGTTGACATTGCTTCTGTCGCAGTGACGAGCAAGTGAAAGGGTACGTATTGATTTCACCCTCTCAGTGGCCCGGTGGCCAGCACGTAACGTAATCTGCAGAGTTGCAGATACACAAATGCGTACCGAACAGGATAAGGCCCACACGGCAATAGTCCTGCAGGCGATTGTTACACCAGGAATGACGTTAGTTCTGTGACATCAGAAATCCTTTACAGGCTGAGAAGTAGTTTGCTGATGGCCTTCGCCAGCACAGTAATTTTTGGTTTCAGATCTTGTTGGGTCTCGTTCTCCAAATTTTGCTGTCTCTGCAGCCCGAAGTTCATACAAATAATGTATAGAATTCAGTTCTTTCCTCACAGAGAACACTTCGTTTCCATAACAGCGACCAAGCAGTTGTTAGTAGGGAAACACACGAATACCCGCCCTGTGTGGCGAAAAATGCGGAGTTTTGTAAATGTTACAGGTGACGGTACACACAGCTTGTTTCCCTTGGGATTTGGAGGGGAATTTCTCATGTTGTAATAAGTTTTATTTTGCATGCTTTGCAGGTTGCTGCATAGAACAGAAGTTTGGGTCTCTCTAACTTCGCAATTTTGAAGTTAGTCCCTGAGCGCTGCTCCGCTTACATTGCCAACATAAGGCCATGTCACTCTTCTGCGCATGCAACTGCATACATCCCCACTACTTATTCTTGGATAGCGGGTTCGGACTTCTTTTTGGACCTCATTCGGTCTATAATATGTGGACTAGGCTGTGTGCTGGACTACCGATGTCTCTGGGTTTATTTCCCGGTAAGGGAAAGATCCGCGTCAAGATGGGCTCTGGAGCCCACGCAGCCTTCTATCTAGTGACCACTTATCTTATTAGCGCAGGGGTTAAGAATGGTGGAGGTATACCTCGACTCCTCCATACGTCTTAATGGCTTGGTGCTTAATTAAGTACATAGACAACTGTGCCTTAACTTTGCGTACAATACAGGACACGGGCTCTACTGTCCCTTGGTGCTGTAGTGAGAAAGGTGTGTGTGTGTGTATGTGTTTTGCCCGCCTGCCCCATGCTGTCTGCACGCCACTGTAAGTACAGTGTTGTCACGTTGTATGTTGTTGCAGTGAGCCGGACGTGCTCCGACGCAGAATTCAGATGTGCCAACGGAAGATGTATCCCTGTCCACTGGCAGTGCGACAATGAGAAGGACTGCATTGATGGCAGTGACGAAGTAGCAACAGTTTGCCGTAAGTACCGACCTCTCTGCAGGACCCCTGCGTCTGGAACATTCTGGGGGGACGTGTCGGAAGAAGAGTCGAGATCTCCGGAACTCCCGTAGTTGTAGAGACTGAATTTGGTAACTGTAATGATGACGCGCCGTCGACGTCACTACCTGATTATGGCTGTCCATCAGAGATGCTGTAGACTTAGTGTACCTCTGTTTGTTTCAGTGTGCCCCCAGTGCCTTGAGATCTAACCCTTGTTGCAAATGCAAACCCGTGTACCGTAAGGGCTATGTAGAGCCGGTACGAACCAAAATCAGAGCACTCGGTAGCGTTTCATGTGGACAGCTGAACACGGCACGGTCAAGTCCTCCCTGTTATGGGTTATTTTTTACTCTGTGAAATGAAATCGCAGGAAGTTGAATCACACGACAGCAAGACCAAATCTGCCCAGCTGTTGGTTTATTTGAGGAGTGCTGTCATGTGAGATGTTACACCGTATAATCTGGTACTACAGTGTGTACTATCCCGGCATTTGCCTGAAGGGTCTGAGTCCATTTATGAATAACTCCAGTAATGATAGCTGGGAGCCGGGGCCTTCCGAAACGTCCCTGCTACAGCTAGCAAGTTGGCCAGTGGCAACATAATTGGGAATTTACGTTGCAGTTCCTTTGTGAAACTGAAGTTACTGCTGTTTGAGTAATTTGGGATGTACAGTTTGGTTCCACCGCGAGTTACAACTGCGTGTCTTGTTAAATGTTGGCACGGTGTTCGAACTCGGGACACTGAGTTTCATCCTCCAAGTGTCCCATGTGACATCCTTGCAGTTACTCCTCATAGGGTCAAAGTGCCACCTGATACGAGGCGCCGTTTGTGTCTTTGCAGTGGGTTATGTAATCGTATTTACAGACGGGTAGATAAAGGAACGCGTGAGGCAAGTTGGTTTGCTTAGTGGCGCTTCATCAACTGTAAAGGTTAGGCCTATTTCGGGAGTGATTGTGCCTTAGAAGAACCGCGATACGTGTTGGTTCTGGAGGGCCTGAAGTTGTCACTCCTCTCATTCTGGGCTTCACAGTTTTGAGTAGTTTGGGTCCCCCTGTGTTCTGTGTCGTAACTTCGTGAAACAGCCCAGAGCCATCATGCGAAATTATTGATATCTGTCGATGACGTCAAAGCGATAAAGTATCGTGTTTGTTATCAAGATGATTTAATAAGGCGCAACTTCTTTTTCGTATCACAGCCGCTTCTCAGTGTCGGGGCAGCGAAGCCCTCAATGGCAGGATGCGTGAGTCGAGGGCTGGGCGGGTGAGGGGAAGGCAGACATGTTTATGTCCTTTTAACCGGAAAATCCCGAAGGAAAGGAACCAATTGGGACATGTAGTCATAGGCGAAGAGATGTTAAATGACGCAGGATTTTCTGGAGGCCGGGGGGGGGGGACCTTCATGGTAACCATCTCGAGAGAAACTGATTTTCCTTTCAATTTATCGGTTTCCAAGGTCAGTGATTGCCTACTGCAGTAGGTACTGATGGGACGGGATATTATTAGAATAGATCTCAAAGAATCGGGATCAGAGGATGTCGACTCAATTTGTCTGGCTGAGTATAGGGACAGGTGGAGGCTCTTTTGAACATGACAAAGAATATTCAGGTTGCTTAAAGTGCAGGGAATTTCTTGAGAGGGTCAGCACTTGTTAGGTTCTCAGCAAGTACTCAGCTCCGTGAAGTGAGTTTGTTATGTACATGAACTTGAGGTTCCAAAATTTTACGTCACAAAATAAGACCACACGTTTGTGCATCATGGTGATGTATCAAGCTCAGAAATCACGGAACAGCTTCATAGCAGAAGGCTCTTTGCATGATTATCTTGCCACTGGTTAGCTTAAGTTGCACATTTGCTCATTGGTGAAAACTGCTTTGGAGTGTGAAATTGCATCTGGTCAGATATATGAGACATTGTTCCTTTGACGCCTGAAATTCATGTAAATAATGTGTAAAAATTCAGTTCGTACATCACAGGAAACACTGCGTCTCCATAACCACGACCAGCCTGTTAATGCTGTTTAAGGAAACAGTCAATGTTTCCTATGAGAATCACACAGAAAATTCAGAGTTTTTCAATGTTAAAGCGGGTAGTTCATATAGTTCCCACTGTACTTTACATACTTAATTGTAGAACACATTGCATGTGTTCATTCTGCACCAGATGCTTCCCTCAATTGTAGAACACATTGCACGTGTTCATTCTGCACCAGATGCTTCCCTCAATTGGAGAACATATTGCATGTGTTCCTTCTGCACCAGATGCTTCCCTCAATTGTAGAAAATATTGCATGTGTTCCTTCTGCACCAGATGCTTCCCTCGATTGTAGAACACATTGCACGTGTTCCTTCTGCACCAGATGCTTCCCTCAATTGTAGAAAATATTGCATGTGTTCCTTCTGCACCAGATGTTTCCCTCGATTGTAGAACACATTGCACGTGTTCCTTCTGCACCAGATGCTTCCCTCAATTGTAGAAAATATTGCATGTGTTCCTTCTGCACCAGATGTTTCCCTCGATTGTAGAACACATTGCACGTGTTCATTCTGCACCAGATGCTTCCCTCAATTGTAGAAAATATTGCATGTGTTCCTTCTGCACCAGATGCTTCCCTCGATTGTAGAACACATTGCATGTGTTCCTTCTGCACCAGGTGCTTCCCTCTGGGTTTCCTTCACAATTATCTTTTCTTTACAGAAATTAAAATATGAAAGAAAGCTGTGTAAATTTTATTTTTCTGATGTATAAACAGGTTGAAACAAATCATGCCAGTTTTGAATGATACAGTTGATGTGCTTCCCTTTGCTTCTGCTCGCAGTCATGCACTTCCTGTTTCTCAGTTAGCTATGGTCACCACAGTCACTAACATTACCATTCCAGTAAAAATTTGTTCAGTTCCTGGTGGAGAATAGGATAGCTTTGTCTTGTGCCCACTCAACTTGTCCCGAAGAAGAAGGAAAATAAGCTGGAGCTTGTACCAGTCACCACCTGGGGATCGTCCCCCGTGGGGTCCTTGGGCATGGGGTTTCGCATACCTCTGTGTACTGCTGTAACCTACATATACGTATTGCTTGAGAAGAGACTGCTTCTTCTCCCACTACTGGGTTTGATTAAAGTCGGTAGTTTATTCAGCCTCACTTCATGAATGAGTAATTTCTTTGCATTGTTGCCCTTTCATAAGCCTGGTGCAAGACATGTGAAACATATTGAATGAATCAGAGTTAATGCAGTTCGTTTGGCCTTCGACTGCAGGGACAAGGTGTTCCTTGAACAGTTGACATATATTTACCTGGTCAGAACACTTCAGGCTTCTATAAAAGCCGAAGGTTCATCACAATATTTACAGTGGCCTTATTTCTGTTTGAACCACAGAGGCCAGGCCGTGCAGGGCAGGGGAGTTCCAGTGTTCTGCGGGCGTGTGTATACCACAAGCATGGGTGTGTGACAGACAGACAGACTGCCTCGAGAAGTCGGACGAGAGGAATTGCACGCAGTGTACGTAAGATTGTATCATGTTGTTGTGTTGCTTACAGAGGAGAAGGTGTGCAGTCCTGAAGAGTTCACTTGTCGTGCCTTGCCAGGCGAATGTGTGCCGCTCACCTGGATGTGTGATGACAACCCGGACTGCTCGGATGAATCAGACGAGAAGGCATGCAGTAAGGAAACACACTGTGCAAGTAGCATGTGGGTTGAGGGACTGTTGATGCTGCAAGCAGACACACTGTGCATGTAGTATGTGGGTTGAGGGACTGCTGAAGCTACAGGCAGGCATGCTGTGCATGTAGCGTGTGGGTTGAGAGACTGCTGAAGCTACAGGCAGGCACACTGTGCATGTAGTATGTGGGTTGAGGGACTGGTGAGGCTGCAAGCAGACACACTGTTCATGTAGTGTGTGGGTTGAGGGACTGCTGAAACTACAGGCAGGCATGCTGTGCATGTAGCGTGTGGGTTGAGAAACTGCTGAAGTTACAGGCAGGCACACTGTGCATGTAGTGTGTTGGTTGAGGGACTGCTGAAGCTACAGGCAGGCATGCTGTGCATGTAGTGTGTTGGTTGAGGGACTGCTGAAGCTAAGGCAGGCACGCTGTGCATGTAGCGTGTGGGTTGAGAGACTGCTGAGGCTGCAGGCAGGCACGCTGTGCATGTAGCATGTGGGTTGAGGGACTGCTGAAGCTACAGGCAGGTACGCTGTGCATGTAGCATGTGGGTTGAGCGACTGCTGAGGCTGTAAGAGAAGCAGTAAGCAGACATGCTGTGGATGTACCATGTGGGTCATTTCATTTAAGACTGTGCAGTGGTTCAGGTCTGGCAGATGGATGACTTAAAGGACAGAGAAGGTAGAAACTCTGCCTAAGTTTATAGCCTGTCATTTTTGGAAACACTGTAAACAGAGATTGGGAAGGAGAGGGGTACTTTGCATGGGTGCTTATGGGTGGAAAGATCTCACCAGTAGATGTCAGGTATGTATACAATGAAAATATCAAGACATGTTGCAAAGATAGGCAGTATTACAGGTAACCAAATGATTTGCTTTTGTTTTTTTTTATGTTTTTTATGTTTGAGTTTGTATAATTCGTTGTTTTCTTGTTTGTGTTTGTGTGATTTGTTTAGCAAGTTTAGCTGTTGTTTTGTGCATATATAACTTTTGTAATTGTGTCTGTGCCTTGTATGTTTCTTTTGTGGTTTTATGTGTGATTTAGGTCACAAGTAGAATGTTCATGTATTTCTACTAGACTAATGTCAAGTTGTTTATATTATTGAATATCATTTGCGTGTTTATTTTTACATGATCTGTTTTTGAGTTTTGACTACTACATGTTTTAAGGAAAGTACATAAGAGTAATGTTCCCCAAGGCCGCGCCATAGCTCAAGCGGTTAGCTGCTGGCTTCCCACCACGGCAGCCCGGGTTCGATCCCGGGTCTGGTCAAGTGGGATTTGTGGTGGATAAAGTAGCGCTGGGGCAGGTTTTCTCTGAGTGCTTTGGTTTCCCCTGGCAATCTTCATTCCACCAATTGCTCCACAATCACACTCGCCTATCATCTGGGGCTGGTACAATAGGCCAGAAGTGGCCGCAGTACAAGGGACTTAGTCCCACCCCACTAGCATTAAAAGAATGTTCCCCAGGCCATACAAATTAAATGAGAGGTCTTTACAAATACTAAATGTAGCTCATTTATTTCGCTGAATTATCATTATTTTTCAACACATGCCCTAAATACATCAATGCATTTGTCCCATCTTGGCACGTGTTTACAAATTCCATTGTGGTAGAAATTGGGCTCTTGAACTTACAACCATGAATTAGCAACCATTCCCACTTCTTTATTACTGTGGAATTGCTAACCTTGCAGAAAAAGGAGGTCTCATGGTGCAAGGTCACGACTGTGCTTTATTAAGTTATAATATTATTTATTATTGACCGTGACTTCCAGCAGGTATTATTTTTGTTTAAACTGGCTAATTATGATATTCCTTCAGACTTAGTGTAAAATGTTTCTTTGATTGCCCACTAGATGGGGCATGTTATTTTGGCTGATTTCTTTTGCCATCTGCATCAAGTGCTTTGGGTTCATTATAATTCCATTAAGCTGTTCCATGTATCTTACAAATCTGTTGTTATGTCTTTCATGTAGTAATTCTTCCAAATTAATCTAGGCATGAGATCTGTATAAAGTATTTGTGCCTATTCCAAAAACAAAAGAATGTTGCATGCCACTGACCTGAGTGGGTTCAGTGGAGTTTTGTTACAAGTAACATTATTACTGTTTGTTATAATTCACTTCACTAACTGTGGTTAGGTAGTAGTGTACAGTATACATAGCAGCTTTTGTATGTGTTCCCTTGTGCATGGCCAGATGAAACCTGTCGCTCGGATGAATTCACTTGCACCAATGGAAAGTGCATACAGAAGCGCTGGGTGTGCGACCGGGACGACGACTGCGGGGATAACTCTGATGAGAAAGATTGTCCAAACACCCCGTGTGCTCCAGACTCCGAGTTCAACTGCTCAGAAAATTTCTGCATCACATCAAGATGGCGCTGTGATGGTGACCTCGACTGTCCTGATGGCTCAGATGAAGAGGTGTGTTGTGAAGCAGCGTGTCGCTGATTGAAACTGATCAGTGGCGTGCAGTGCACAAGATGTGATTATGGACTGTTGTTGTTTTCTAGGGTTGTTCGGACCGTCCAATGCATCCATCTCACTGCCTGCCTCGTGAATTTGAGTGTGAAGACCGTATTACTTGTATCCACCAGTCCTGGGTTTGTGATGGGGATAGGGACTGCCCCGGTGGAAGTGACGAAAGTGTAGCACGATGCCATAACGTAACGTGCCGGCCAGACCAGTTTCAGTGCAAGAACATGGTCTGCATCCCAGGGCACCTGCACTGCTCGGGCCAAGCAGAGTGTTCTGACCAGAGTGATGAGGAGAACTGCAGTAAGTAACTGTTCGACTGAAATGTGGTGTTGTGGGTTCTGCTCCTGTGTCTGTAACTTAACAAAACTGTGTCCCACTGATCCAGCGGCACCAGTACCGAAGTGCGACCCAAAGACACAGTTTGAGTGTGGGGGTGGGATCTGCATTCCCCTGAGCAAGGTGTGTGACACGAAGCCAGACTGTCCAAACTGGGAGGATGAGCCGGGTGATCGCTGTGGCAAGGACGAGTGCAAAGACAATAATGGCGGATGCTCTCAGCACTGCGTGGACACCCCTGGTGGCTACTATTGTGACTGCTTGCCTGGCTACAAGCTTATGGACAATCGCACCTGTGACGGTATGTTGAGTCTGTCATATTTTACAGTTTCTTAGAATGACCTATCATGGTTCTACAGTGTAGAGAGATGCATCAGTACCATGAGCACTGGTAAGTTTAATAACTCAAAATATGTTACTTCATTCAGCTGTGAAATGTGGTCTTGTATCTTAAGGAAGAGCATAAGATGATAACAAGAATGCTCAGGAAAGTGGCTGGACGTAACAGGGACACAGAGCTGTCATATAGCATGGAATTTTATGATTTGTACATGACACATATGTTAACGATTGTTCAGAGGTGTAACTTGGATGGTGACTGCATAATTTAGGATAATATTGGACCTTCGATTTCTGACAACTTATTGTTCTGCATGGTTGCAGATGTCGATGAATGTGAGACCCCGGGTGCCTGCTCACAGATATGCATCAATGAGAAAGGTACGTTCAAATGCCAGTGTGTTGAAGGATACCTACGGGACCCACGGGACCACACACGTTGCAAAGCTATGGAGGGCCATGCATCACTGTTATTTGCTCGTCGGCATGACATCCGCAAGATCTCGCTGGATCACCATGAGATGACAGCGATTGTGAACGACACCAAGAGTGCCACAGCACTGGACTTTGTCTTCAGAACTGGCATGATTTTCTGGAGTGATGTCAGTGACCAGAAGGTTTACAAGTAAGAGACTAATATTCCTCAAAAGTCTTGCTCTGCAGAAATGTCTGAGCATGCATTTGGTGTCCCGTGTTGCAGGTCCATGTGAACTTGAATTTCAACTAACAGAAACTTTCCCCTAAAGGTAAATTTACCCCTGGCCTTAATTGGGCACCACGCCGAACTCCCCAATTCTTAATCTCGTGACTACATGGAGGTGAGTGGTCAGCTTTATGCCCCTGCCACGTTGTCTCTGGAGAAACATCCCTCTGTACTCATTGTGTAGGAAGGGGGATGTGTGGCTCTCAGAGCCAGTCTGGACAACACAGAGAAGAGAAAAACATCTTGTCCCTATTAGAAATCAGACTCAACTGTGATCATCCAGCTTGTATTTATCGTCTAACCTATGAGAAAGGCTATATGCAAATAATGGCAACATACCATATTTATGCTTTTAATATGCCACGAAAACTAGACGTGTTAGGAGAAATCTTGGGACAGGCAGGCAGGTTTCAGTGGATGAATGTTTTCACTGTCTTTGCAAATTCTTTTATTCTTATCTTCTATCCTATGTACAGAGCACACGGTAGCATAGTTGGTCGAGGCTGTATGCTAAAGCCGGAAGGTCTAGGGTTTAAGTCCCGATTAGGTCATTGGATTTTTCAGTTGATCTCATCCTTCCAGCCGCACTATGGCCCTGGGGTCGACTCAGCCTCTAACAGAAATGAGTACCAGGAATATTCTTGGGGGTAAAGGACGGATGGCCGATTGTCTAGACAATGTAGGAACCTCAACAGCCATGGCAGTGCTGAGACAGTGCCCAACATTTCAGAGACCATCTCATTGCATGAGGTTTCTGTGCGATAACAGTAGCAGCTTTTTAAGGGGGCATGAGGATGGTGACTGGATAGCTTAAGGCATGTCACCAAAATGTGCAAAGCATACAGTGCATAATAATAAATTTTAGAACAGTGCTGCTGTCTTCTTTGATGTTATGCCATATGATCTATTAGACCGTTGTTGCTGCTTGCTGGTTGGTTGCTTGGTTTTACTCTTCATCCTTTAAGTTGGAGGCAATGCATTCCTGGAAATCATTGCTGAACCTTTTTAACAGAACATGGAATCATTTCCATAGGATGATGCAAAAATACTCTGTTTCATGACTGAGGTGTGTCACAATCTTTCTTGATATCTTCAGGCAAGTGCTTAGCTACTGTGTTAAAATGGGGCACAGCCAATAGTTAGTTTTTCATAATTAACTTTCTGTGTTACACTGAGCATCGTGTACAGCTGACTGACAGACAGACGTAGAGAGCAGACAGAGCCATCTCTGAGAGTGACTTGGGTGTTCTCTCTGTAGAGCTCCAATTGACGAAGGCAGTGAACGGACAGTTGTGATTAAGGACGAGCTGACAACTTCAGATGGGCTTGCAGTGGACTGGATCTACAATCACATATACTGGACGGACACGGGCAAGAACACGATAGAGCTTGCGAACTTTGAAGGTGGCATGAGGAAGGTGCTGATACAGGACAGTCTGGAGGAGCCACGGGCCATTGCTCTCAACCCCATTGATGGGTAAGTGAACAGGCAGAACCAGTGGTGTGCCCATTCATGTACCCCTATATCCCCATTGCCATTCCATAAGTGTCAACCTGCTTGTCCCATTTACATGAACTAGCTGTGCTCAACTGTAGGGGAACTTGCCTGTACTCGATTTCCATTAGCTACGATGTACTGTCTGATGTTTGGGGTCCATTTTCATGCTTTAAGTGAAGATCTCTGGTCCCTCAGGGACCATGAAAATGTAACTGAGGCTGCTGTGAAATAGTCCAGTAACAAAGATGTTGTATTAATAATTGTAGTCCTAAATAAGCAATAAGTGAATAAAAATTATGTTGATATAATTAAATGATAACTAACTTCATGGAGCTGGGTCATTCTTGTGAAGCTAATATTTGCTCATCTACCAAAGATGTCCCCAACATTTTATGGTACCCAGAGGTCTCATTACCACGTTCATAAATGCATGCTACCTATCCTATCCTATCCTGGGGCCAGATGAATCCAGTGCACAACCTCCCATTCCATTTCTTTATGATAAATTTTAATGTTATCTTCTTATCAATGCATGGGTCTTTCTGGTGGTCTCCTTCCTTTGGGTGTCCCAAGGAAAATTCTGTTTGCACTTCTGGTCTGGCCTATGCATGCATGCTATATGTCCTGCCCATCTCATACCCTTTGTGAGGAGCAAAAATTGTGAACATTATGCAATTTTCTTCATCCTCATGTCACTTCCGCCCTTCCCAGTACCTTACTGTCGAGCACCCACAATCTGTGTTTATCTCTGAAGGCTCCTCCCTCATATTCGAACTGAATGGCAGAAAGCTTTCCTTGAATTTAATCTGCTTTAATTTCTTTATGATTGCAATTTTGATTTGCTTGTGTTGTTCCAAAGTATTTGAACTTTGTCACATTTTCAAAGAATTTATGGGTTAGATATTAGAGTTTTGTCCTGCGATGTACATTCCAGTGATGAGACATCAACATATTGTGACATGTCAAAATGTTGGGCCCCGGGATGTGGAACGAGTTACCATGAAAACAGACTCTTGATAAATGGCTGGTTGCCAAGCTGCAAGTTTTGTCTGCCTTTAGAGCAGCCTCCTTACTGGCATGGTAATGTTAACATTGTCAGAATAGACCAGAAGCTGATGTATCACACCCATTCAAGTTCAGTCCCTCCTGACTTTCTTGGTCAGTATGTCAAAAATAGATAACTGTTAAATCATATTTTAAGTTAGCTCTAGTTTGAGAGGCTTCAAGCTTTTGTATTCATGCCAAAGGAGTCTTACACCAAAAGAGACTGGAAAGCACTGCTGTACTGTACCATGATGGAGAGTGAGGTTAAACAAGTCCTACTAAGTTAGAAACTGAAATTCTTGATTTCAGGGTCTCACAGTAAGAGACTATATCCGATATCCAAATTATATGTAATATATCACATTGTACATCTTGGAAAGTTTGAGGATTCGTTATTGAAAGATGTTTATGATTCTAGGTGGATGTTCTGGACTGATTGGGGCACTGAACCAAAGATTGAACGTGCTGGAATGGATGGATCGCATCGCCAGACGATTGTCTCATATGAAGTGAAATGGCCTAATGGACTCACACTTGATCTTGTGAAGAAACGTGTGTACTGGGTGGATGCCAAACTGAACGTGATCTCGTCTTGCAACTATGATGGCAGCGAGCGACGTGTGGTTCTTTACTCTCCTGATGCACTTCAGCATCCGTTTAGCATAACGACATTTGAGGACTGGGTGTACTGGACAGACTGGGACAAGCAGGCTGTGTATAAAGCAAACAAGTTTAATGGGAGAGACATAACGGCCATCACTGCCACGCACATGGTAAGTGGCTGCAGTAGCTTCTGTGGGGCAGTTCACACTGCAATTGCAGTGTTCCTCTTATTGATGGCAGTTCCATGTCTCTAAGGCACAGCAGACAAATTTCAGTTTCTCTGTGTGTCTGCAAGCAGCAAGGGCACTGTCCAGCACTGATGAAGCTCTCTCTCTCAAGGACATGTTGGTGGCAGCATGAGTAGGATTTTTGGGGTTCAGCAAAAAGCTTTCATACCGATGTATACTAATCTCAAGGAGCAGGATCCATCTTAACAAGCCAATAGCTTCTCAGCTAGTCAAGATTCCCACCTCTGGCAAAACCCAAACTTTCATTACCATGCTGACCTGTATGCAATACATAACTAAATTATGGCATAGAAACATATTGTTTCTCCTAGGATCAACTTTTTTTCTAACTTAATTATTTTCAGGAAGAAAAAATATATTAAGAAAGCAGTCTTCTGGGATTTGGCACCGTGTATATGTGGTGTTAACCGACGTTTCGGAGGAACGTATCACCTCCATCTTCAGGGTAGAAGGAAAAATATAAGAAATCCGCAAGTGAAGAGCCCGTGAGAACCAGTAAAAGCAGTCACGGTCTCTTCGCTTGCGGATTTCTTATATTTTTCCTTCTACCCTGAAGATGGAGGTGATACGTTCCTCCGAAACGTCGGTTAACACCACATATACACGGTGAAAAATCCCAGAAGACTGCTTTCTTCATAGTCACCGCCGTGAAAGCCTCAAATCTTACAAAAAATATATTTTTTATTATGTTCCAGGCACTTCAGGAGAAGTTGGGTTTGAACCCAGAGCAAGCCTGTGTTCTTAGTAGAATGGACATTGTAATGTGTGATCCAGTTGTTTCATTAAGAGCACAGTACAAGGTGTGGCAATAAAGAACCCGGATTACTTTTATGACTCATTTCCGGCCACGTCATTGACGAAGAGGAGGGTAGGGCATTGACCCTTGGACTTCCCTCTACCGTCACACAAAGTTTCATTCACGTGCATCGGTTAGTCTGGCCGCGACCATTGTTAGAAGCGGATCGTGTTTCTGAGCTCCGTCGGAATAATGCTGAGTGCTAATGCAGAACAACGTGCTAACATCAAATTCCTCACAAAACTTGGAAAATCTGCCA